GTCTAAGTTGAGAAATATTTTTGACAATTTTTAAATTTTGATAATTTACAATTGTTGGGGGTTCCCCTAAAAGAAGGTTTAGGGTTCTGTAACCATAAAAAATTTGGAACCGCTGTTCTATACATTCCTTTGCTTACACAATGCTTAAATAGCTGCTCATAAAAAGTTTAATAAAAATAAGAGGGTTTTCCCATTTCATCATAAATGGGAAAACCCCTTATTTCTATGACCTGCATTAGACCTGAAATCAATTTCGTAAATATAAGTTTATGTTCGATATTTCTCTTCTCTTTCTCTGCCTTGATCATTTTTGTTGTCAAACGTTTTATTTTTAACTTTAACTTAAATATTATTATTACAATAATTTTCAAAAGTTAACATTGATTAGAAGAAAAAACAAGTGAGGAATTTAAATCATTCTCCCTCGAATGTCTTATATGAGGGTGCATAAACTTCTTAAGTTCACACACATTTATTATTATATACATTTGAAGGTGACACTAATTCTCAATCAACACTTTTTGACTGGAATCAACAGGAGCAAACATCAGAATCCGGTTTGTTCAACAACGTTTGATCAGATCAAAACAACGTTAAGATCTTTCACTAACAGATAAATGCACTGAAAAAAGTTATGGTAGAATGTTATTACGTGATGGTCAGATGATAATTTAATAGATATAAATAGACAGTTATGTTTGGTATTTTCCTATTAGGTCAAAACAAGCAAATGCTCTTTAAGTGAAATAAGGTTCAGATATTATTTTAGCCAAACTGCATTTAAATCTTATTATCTTTGACTTAGAATCTTATAAACGTATTAATACAGTCATATATAATAACCTTTTAAACTTATTATGTATGATTTATAAACTTATATACGACTTATAAGCCTATTGTTACTATTCCACATTAATGCAGCGTCAAGTTTAATTAATTAGAAGAAAATAATTATAAAACTGAATATCGTATAGTCACTGTAAAAAGCCTGAAAACACTCCGTCTTGTTATCATTGAATCAAACTAAAGTAGTTTTAAACTTAATCATGTTCATGTTAAACCCTAATATTGTGCATTGAAATAGCTGCGAATTAGAACTATAGGGGAGAGTGGGGTCAGCTGTAACATTTTTTACTTAACTATTTTTAACTAAAAAAAAATCCAATATATTATTAGTATTAATTGACAGACGTGTAAAGTAGACTATCCTCTACTAGAAGAAAAATAAATACCTGATTTTAATTATTATTATATTAGTTATTAACAATTTTTGACAGTCGAGCACTTGTTACAATTGTCCCCACTTACGGGGTCAATTGTAACAGTTCATAAATTCAACTAAAACATAGTTAATTATACATATTATCATAGTTGTGATATATTTTTTTATTGATCAAAATAGTAGTGATATTTTAGGAGTAAAAATAATAATGAGCAGAGACCTAAAGGGTTAAACTTTTAACTTTAAGGGGTTAAAAATTTTAATTTATGCTGTGAAAGGTGACAAATAAAATAATGCACATGCAACATAATATAAATGATATAGGAAACTATTGGTGGTTCTTAAAGAGTTAAGTAATGGTTTGTAAACATAAGATTATTTATTTTCAGCTGTTACAATCGTCCCTTTACTTATTGTTACAATTGTCCCCAAGACGCCATTTCAGCTTCATTTGTTAAAAACAATGCTAGTTAATTAGCAAAACTAATTTTTTTTTTATTGAAATGTTAATTAAGGTGTCCACTTACATATTCGGTTAATAATTTTTATTTGTTTAAACAAAATTACTTTGTTACAATATAATATTCTAATACCAAAAAAAGTACTTTCGTGGCGTGAAAATATCTTTTGTGATGTAACTCTTTCAAAAGTACATAAAAATGGTTGCCATCAGGGGTGTACATGTAGATTTATTAAATACACCTTGTGCGCCACCTAGGAACCAAATCTAGAATCCGACACTCGAAATTTTTGCTCTGTTACAATCGTACCCTGTTACAATTGACCCCACTCTCCCCTAATATACACTACTGGCCATTGAAATTGCTGAACCAGGAGGGAATGGAAATAGAATGATATTTATTGGGAACATACATTATAGTTAGAAGAACAAGTGACTAAATTTTCAGGATATTTGGATGTTTGGATCCTGAGGAATCAGTACTCAGAGCACCTCCCCTGACAACAATAATAGCAGTTATTCACCTGGACATCAAGTCGAACAGAGATTGGATATCATGGACGGGTACAACATTCCATGCAGCTTCATAATAACCTCTAATATTGACATATAACATTATGCCACAACTCGACCGTAGTGACTGACGTGTGGTGGCGTGCCAGTCGTTCGGCAACCATTGACCAGACGTTTTCAATTTGTGTGAGATCAGGAGAACATGCTGTTCAGGGCAACAGTCGAACATGTCCTGTGCCAAGGAAGGTCAGGACAATGCGGGCAACATGCGGTCGTGCATTGTCCTGCTGAAACATAGCGATATGGAGTCTTCGAAGATAAGGCAGAGCGACTGGTCTTAACACATCAGAAATGTAACAGCTGCTGTTCAAAGTGCCGGTAATGTGAACATGAGGGGATCCAGACGTGTATCCAATGGCAACCCATACCATTACTCCGGGTGATGGGATATTATGACGATGTCAAGTGCAAGTTGCCAATGAGCGTTCTCCACGATGTCGTCAAACACGGATGCTGCCATCATGATGCCGTATACAGAACCTGGATTCGTTTAAAAAGACGACGTCATGCGATTCCTGCATTCAAGTTCGTCGTTGACCACACCATTGGAGGTGCTCCTGTCTGTGATGCAGCGTCAAGGGTAACCGAAGCCATGGTCACCGTGTTGTCAGTCCATACTGCTTCAAACGTCGTCGAACTGTTCGTGCAAACACTTGTTGTCTGACAAATGATCCCATTTGTTGACTTATGGTTCACGACGCAGCTGTACGAACCCTTAAGGCCATTGGTATAACATGTCTGTCTCTTCGACTGTTAGTGATGGGGGGCCACTGAAACCCTGCACGGCATTCCATATGACCATCATGAACCCATCGATTCTATATTCTGCTAACAGTCATGGGCTCTAGACCAACGCGGGTAGTAATACCTCGGTGTGATAAACCGCAATCACGGTAGGCCACGATTTGATCTCGATCAAACTCAGACATGCGCTGATAGGCGTTTCTTCTTCTTACAAGAGGCATAACAGAAACTTTTTACCCAAGAACACAGCTCAAATTCAATTTCTGTATGAGAAACGTACTGCCAAATCTCTTCTTTTATACATATTGTAGGTGTCGCTACATCCGCCTACTTTGCGTGAATGCCCTGATAAGCTAATCATTTGCATACCACAATATGTTTTATCCGTACTGCATGTTAGCGGTGAGTCGCCTTCCTGGTGTAGCAATTTTAATGGCCAGTAGTGTAGTTTGACGTTCAACGGAATTTCTAATAAGGATGGGAACAAATTTTACAGTTAATGCTTTCTCCAAGGATAATTTATGTGTTAAAGTTAACAGTACCAGGGGCGCAGACAAGTCTTCTGGGTATAGTTCAAAATTACGAGACTTTGAAAATGAGTATTAGTAGTCGTCAGGGGCTTTAAAAATTAACAGCCCGGTAACCAAGACGCATAAGAGACCGTAGCTTTTGCCCAATGTGTAGTAAAATTTAGAATCGAGTAAAAACGTTTTACGTTTTATTTTCTATTCCATGAGATTTTAGCTCCTAAAAATTGATTCTGGGTCAAAGAATTTTTTTTGTAGTTTTGTAGAGCTTCGGAAGTCTTAAATCCTATATGGATCCGATATTTGTATGTCAGTCACGAAAAGTTTCGTATTATTTCATTTATTTATTACTTGAGGTTTAATTTTATTACTCAACACCAACCTCCCAGAACAGCTTTTGGAGTGTCTGTAGGATCGTTTCGCGATTCGTGCTCGTTACTCCAGCTGACCAGATATTAAAACTAAGTTGTCTAATATTACTGTTTAAAGCGATATTCTAGTACATACTCCAAAACTCATGTATCTAACGTTTTTGCTGATTAAATACTCGATTTCAAACACATTCGTCCTAAAGTAATCAACAAACGAATGCATAAGATAGTTAAAACAATACAATACATGCAATATTTCTTTCCTCGATTCAGTTAAGACCCACCGATTACATACGGTTTACGTGCTCGAAAAATCTGGAGAATCGAAAGTCCCGTGATCGATCGCTGAGCAGTACCAAGGGTACAGGAATCTGGAGAAAATTTCTTTCCCCTTCAAATATTTGTCAAAACCGTCGAAGTAACCTCACGAATGTTGCGATCTAACCGAGAGTTTCTGAGCTAAGTCGTGATTTCACCCTTGCGGTGTTCTTGTATCAAACGAAAGGCACCTACCTGACTTAAATCACCAAGGACAATGGCTGGCGTGCTTGTCCAGCCCAAATGTCATAAGAAACAACAACATTTAGTTCATACAACATAAGTATCTGTAGAATTCAAAATTAGCACTATTGTTTCCCCCTCTTGAAGTGTCCCCCAAAATGAAAAAAATCATTTCTGTTTCCGTTTCGTGCGTTTCTTTTCACTCATAATAAAAGGAAACCATTAATCATCTTCTAAATATGGCTTTCCAAACATATGAATACAAAGGCCCTTCCTTATTACTTGTTTTTGATCACTTTTTTTTTCCTTTACACCTGGCTTTAACCAGCTGATTCCAGTTCAGTATCAATAAATAATTGTCACCTCACCTCCTTCTAGGGAAATGATTTATATTTATTCAAAATTAAAAAAGGAGGAAAATAATATACAACATTTTTTTTAAAAGAGAGAGAGAAATATTTCTTTGTAGATAATAGGGGTGGAGTCTTTATCGTGAGTAAAGAGCAGATTTCAAAAAAAAAAAAAATGAATAAATAAATAAAATAAAAAAAGAAGGGGAAAAAACGGATAAATTATTAAGTTATCATAAGCCGAAAAAAATTAAACAAATAGTTGATGGACTGACCTTTTTTTGCCTGAGATTAGGATATAAAGAGTTCGGTCAATTGAAAAAAGTTTTCAGTTCTTTAGTAACTTTGTCTCAGTTGGATAAAAAAAAATTTAAGTTTTTAAAAGCTTTTTGTGAGGATGTTTACTAAGTTGCTTATTTTTGCTGCGTCTATTGGAGGTGAGAATATATTTAAAATTTTATCTCATTATAATGTTATGTTATTGTGTTATTATTATTTTATAGAACCATTCAAGAATTATTGTATTAATTTTCTCTTTTTTGAAAAAGCTATTGATTTTATCGCATTGTAATTTTCTTTAAAATTTCCACCAGTAGAATTTTATATAAAAAATAAAACTACGTATAAATTTATAATATATTAATGCAGTTTCAAAAAAATAATAAATAGAATAACAATAAATAAATAGTTAAAATGTAGGCTTAAAAAAATAGCTCTGCAAATGCTTGACAGATTGATTTATTAAAACTTTGAATTTTAAATAAGGTGTAAATAAGTTTAGTTATACAAAACAAAAATAACACAAAATATTCAAATATTTAAAAAAAAAATTAACCAATTAATTCTTGATTTTAAAATATTTTAAATGCATTTCATCGCATTAATATTTCTTTAAAAATATAATGAATTTAGGAATTTATTGTATTATTAATTGCTTGAAACTACTATAAATTAATTATACAACATCTAAATTTTTGAACCATTTGTAATGTTTTTAAGGATAAATTTCCTTATTTATGACAACATTTCATATTACATTAAAATATTTTTAAAAAAACTGATAATTTTTTTTTTTTAATAAAAAAAAAATTTATGAATTGGAAACAAAAAGTATAAAATATGTTTTTAGAATTTGTAAGTTTTTCTCACTTCATTTTAGCTTTTTTTCTAAAAAGACATTTTAAAGAATATTTATTTCCAAGTGATAAATGATGTCCGTCTGTAAAAGAATTTAATGTTTCGAATTTAACTGTGACATTATAGGTTTTGCTTCTGAAAACTAGGTCGTACTATTTAAAAATTTCAAAACTCTTGCTTTAACCTCTTAAATGGCTTTTTGAATAAACAGTCATAAAAGTGCCAATTTTTTATTCAAGAAGGTTATATAAAACTAGGTTATATAAAACTAGGTTATATAAAACTAGGTTTTTATTGGAGACTTAACGATTTTGACTTAGAGATGCAGCAGATTCTCCTCACAGCACATATGGATGATCCACCAACTAGGATTCACCCATCAAAACTTATTTCCGTTCCCTACGGTAGATCACTCCCAACAAACAGCGGCCTTGAAATTTTTACTGATGGATCAAGGATGGAGGTTGCCGACTCCGCTACTGATACCACAGAATATAGAACTGGCTTCGGCATTGTTACTAAAATGCACGGTACTTTAATCGAGGCAACCTCCACCAGGATCTCAAACAATAGTAGTGTTTACATGGCAGAATTGGTGGCAATTAATAATGCTTTTCTCTGGCTCTCTAAAAAAGAATATCCAGACGCCACTATCTATACTGATTCGCTTTCCTCGTTGCAAGCCTTACAAAACCCAGTATCAAGCTCAAAAATTGTTGAAAACACTAAACAATTATGGCGATCCAATATACTCTGCAATTGGGTTAAAGCTCATATAGGTACTCAAGGCAACGAGGAGGCGGATCGAGCAGCTAAGAAAGCCACCGATCTCTGCCGGGTTGCCCTTGAGGTCCCAAGCTCCATCGCCCAAATTAAAACTCAGGTTAAATTATATAGCATGAAGCGCTGGGGGCTGGAATGGCGGAGTTCCGAGAAAGGGAGACAGACATTCAAATTTTTTAAAGACCCGAAATTAAATAGACTACAAGCAAACTTCTATCTCAATCAATTTTTAACAGGCCACGGAGTGTTTGGAGAACACCAATATAAATTATTCCACAAAACTCCAGAATGCAATTACTGTGGTGAATATCAATCTATTGATCACTTGTTAATAAATTGTTCTCAATTCCAGACAATCCGGGGCAATAACTTTAATAATATTGGCCAACATCAATGCTATGCTAACCTGACTTGTAGAAATATCATAAAAAAGATTATTAAACAAACTTTAGAGGATGTATTGGGGGACGGTCTTTAATGTCTCGGAACTTGTTCCTTCCAGCTTGGGTGTCTCATTTTTTTACTATGTCTTTTATAAACTATTCTTCTTTTACTGCTCCAATTTTATTGTTATTTACTTTTGTACTATTTAATTGGTTTTAATAGTAATGCTTTTAATTGTTTTACAATATTGTTCTCTTGTAATTTTTGCACGTTTATCTTTTAAATTGCTCTTATAAATTATTCTTTTAATTGACACTTTTAATATATTGCTGTTTTAATGTTTAGCACCTTACATGATTTTAGCTGTTCTACGCCCGCCATGTTCATGGGCTGTTGCCATGTCTGATGTGTATTTTATGTAATTTATGTTTCTACTGTTCTCTGGATATTTTTTTTTTGATTTTAATAAACATTTACCCGTATGCCCTAAATAAGGGCGGGTCGGGGTAAATTCTTCCATATAAAACTAGGTTTGTACATACATGTCTTCATCCCTAATTGTTGGGTGAATCGCAAACCTACTTGTTTGATGACTGTGATGACATCTAGCTAAAAATAAACAGCTAAACACATTACAAATAGTTGAATACTGCCATCTGGTGTACAGAATAAAAAATAAACATGGTGCCGATAATGTGATCATGTCAGATTCTACAGTTTAAGTCAAAAGTTCTTCAATTTTATATTTTTTTAATTCCTATTTTTCTTTACTTCGTTTGAGGGTTTTTTTAAACTGAAGAAATTGTTTAGCTCTTAGCCCAAAGACAAATCGGTAATTGAAAAAGAATCTGGAGTAGATAAACATTTGTATTACTTAATTTGCTGAGGATCAAAAAATGTTCTATGTAATAGACAGAGTATTCCTTAATAATTGCCCTTACAATCTTATAACTCACAATCTTATAACTCACAATCTTATATCTTGCAATTTATGAAAGCATTATAAAAATCGAAAGGTATTCTGGGGAAGAGGGAGAGAAAAAAAACATCAAAACAGGTTTGAATGCCAAAGACGAGTTGAAGGATTATTATTAAAAACACTTTCAAGTTTTATCAGGCAATCAAACTAGTTTTTATGCCTTTCAACTACAACGCGAGTGATTCGACTGATTTCTCGATTTGTTATTCATTCTCTCTGCGGTCACTAATGTTTTTTTTTCCAATGCCCATCTGGATAATGACCCAGGTCATACAGGCTCGTGAAGGGCAGATTTGTTGGCCACTCTTTCAGAGGCACCGTATTAGGTGGGTCAACCTTGCTCCCACAGTAAGGACAGATAGTATAGATAAGGAAGGAGCATCCATGCCTTGCCCAGGATTCGAAGCCAAAACCTTTCTGATGCAAGGGCAGCTCCCTAACCCCTACACACGCCGGGCGGCTATGCAGTCACTAATGTGAATTCTTTGTTTGCTTCATTTTTGAAAAAGATTCCAAAAATGTATATAAAATGAAACCCACAAAATACATGCAAAAAAATGTGATTAGAGTTTTTATATTTTCCTAGATCTAAGATTCATTTTCAACTTGATTAAATCACTAAACTCTTTAAACATTAAGATGAGCACTAAATTTCAATCAATAATTGGTTTAATTTTGTTTATTGTTCAACAATTCATTTATTCATTCAAATAGTCATAAATTTAATATATTTTGCAGTTATACTAGCAGCTGATAACAACGATGTTCTGAATTGTATACAAAGAAAGTATGATGATGATGTAAGTATTTTGAGCAATCTAACTGTGAATACCCTATTATTTTAATAATAATCCATATCTATTTCTTTAAAACTGTTACCCAATTTAATCTAAATTCACTAAGAAAATATCGTCCCCTTTTTTTTCTTTGTTTTAAATGTTTATTATACCATACTGAATTTCGAATTTTTTTTAATACATGCATTGTTTAATTTCTTGGTTTTTTACTTGTTCTGTTGTATTATACATCAAGCAGGAGTCCATAAACCCTCGACGCTAGGTCTTCACGACGTCTTACAAATCGTAACTATTAGTTCTCAATATTTCATTAAAATTTTAATCTGATTTTTTTTTCAGTTTCCGGTAACTTTTGAGGAAAATTTAACTTGATGCTGAGAAATTTTTAATTTTTTATAGACCCCTAATAATAAGTATAAAAAAAATCTTTCCAATATTCTTTGAAGCATTGAAAAATATTTTTTTTTAAATTAAATTATATAATAAATTCAATTAATTTTCTTCGAAAAGGTGAAATATTAAGTTTTTTTTAGCTCCTTTTTAACATGAGGTTAGACTTTATTTCGTTTTTTTCCATCGAATTTGAATTTTTAGTGACAAAGCTTACATTTGGATTTTTTACTTCAATTTTTCTTAAAAAAACTTGTAAAATACATTCGTATTTTCTTTCTTAGTTTCATCAAAGCTTAATAAATAAAAAACATGTAATTTTAATTTTTCAAAATTTCTTAAAAAATTTAAATATTAAATAATAACATTAATTGAATAATGACATTAATTAAATAATAACATTAATAAAATAATAACATTAATAAAATAGTAACATTAATTAAATAATAACATAATAATTAACACTAATAATAACATAATTAATATTAACAAAAAAAATATATCTGAAATCAAATAATAACATGCATAGTTTTTTTTTAAAAGAATAACGCAAAAAAGTTTAAATTTGAAACCTGATGTTTTCAGTTGTATAAAAATTCGAAATATTAATTTATAACTATTTTAATTTGTTTTCTTTAGTATTAGCTAATGTTCAGTTTGAGTAAAAAACCATAATATTTAATCTTTGGGAAGAAAAAACTATTTGCATTATTTTTAAATTATTAAAAAATCTAAAAATTAAGCATTTTCTGTACTGAACAGCCGTAAAATTCTAACTGTTATTTATTTTTATCATTATAAATCCAGAATTTTACGAAATTGTTCAGAATTTTACAGTTTTACAAAGTTATTTTTCTAATTTTTTTTAATTTCATCATATTTAGAAATTCAGAAAGCCACTTTCAATTGTAATTGGTGTCAATATATTGATCCATTGTATTAAAAAATTTTTTCGTTTTCTTTAGCTGGGCAATTCTTTCACCAGTTGCTACGAATCATCTCAAAAAATGAGGCCAGATAGAATTACGACTGTAAGTTAAACAAAATTGAAATTCATGCGTTGAGTTCAGAATTATTTCAGTATAATTTATTATGATTTATTTTTCTGTTGTCATCTTTTTAATAGTGTTACACTGAAGTAATGCAAGATATTGGAGTCGTTGTGAGTAAAAAATGTTTTTCGTTTCTATATTATTCGTATCAAAATGCTCTAAGTATGTTATAAATCCTTATTTTTATTATGACAATTTATATTGATTAACATACAATTGTTTTCAGTGTTCACAAAAGAATCTCTCTCCCATTTTGCAAGGTTTTCGCTCACTGTTTAATTTTTTATTATTATTTTCAGTTAATTGTAATTATGCTGCATTTAATTATATTTTCATTTAAACAATGGCGAATAGGCATACCTCGTTAAGTTTAGAAAGTTAATAAACAGTGTCCGTTGAAGAAGTTTCGCTGTTGTAGTATGAACAAAACATAATATGAACCAACTATTTTTTTTCCCAGTTAAGATACGCGGAAATAATCAAGAGCATCATTTTCACATAGGAAATTAAAATATATAAAGTTTTTGTTACACAATTATTTGTTTTTATTATTAAAATATCCATTTTATTTTGATGCTCAGAAAATTTTCTTATAGTGACAAAAGTTACTTTTTGTGCTAAGTACGAGATTACAAGAAATAACTTAAATTAAAAAACTAAATATTTTTACTGCAAACAAATTTTGTTAGATGTTATGCTTCTGTTGGACTCAAATTTTTTTACCATTTAAAGATGAATCATCAAAAAAGACTGTTTCCAGCTCATGGATCTAATGATACACAAAATGGATCCATGGACTATTTTTTTATGCACAAGAAAAGCCTCGATACTCACCAGATCTGAATCGAATGGATTTTTTCTCCATTTTGTAAATAAGTTCTTATGCCGAGTCCCATAAAACTTTGCCATTTCAAAATATAGTAAGTAATGGGGGGAAAATATCAGCTGATGAATTGCGGTTCACACCTGAAAAATTTTTGGTACGTAAACAGCTTTGCAATAAAGCCAAATATTTACGGTTATTAGGTTTTTAATACATATAAGTTTGTAAATATATTTCAGGTATTTTCCTGTTTGTTTGTTTGCGTAAGTCCGGTTGAGGTATTTTCAAAAGCAATTAAATTAGATAACTATATTTTTTCTTATTATTTCTTATCCCCCTATGTTACTAATTGATAAAATGATTCCAATTCCAGATCGAGTGCAAATTATTGCAACGTCTATGTGTTTAAGTATAGGCTGAACATAAATAAGTTCAATTCCAGGTTACTGCCAGCAACGGTCAGATGACAGTAGACAGAACGAAGTTCGGAGAATATGGAAACAAAAACAGTGAGAAACCGATTGGAAAAGCCATGGAGGAATGTTTCAATAATCATAAAGCTGGTGATAACCTGTACAAAAAAGTAGGATTTTTTAAAATTATTTATATCTATCCAACATATATATATATATANGGAAAATCGAAAATTAAACTAAACAAACGTCATCACAAGGACAATTCCGGTTAACAAACAAAACTCAAAAGTATATCTTGTTTAATACCTTCACCACTTGGACTGAACCCCTGACCTTAGGATCTGAAGTATGTCTGCCTAACAAACTTTACAATCGATTTGACTGAGCCGAAATGAGGATTCTTTGTCATTATTACAGATTTGTAGTATTTCGCAATCCCTTTAACATCTGTTCGACATCCAACAGACGCTTTAAATTTTTTTTATAATTATTTGCATCGTAAGAATCATTTAAAACTATTTTCAGGTGAAAAGAGAGGAAGTCATAATTTCGAAAAGTGCCTGGTTATACTTACAGAACTTTATTTAAAAATTTGCAGTAAATGTGATGTGTTGGCATTAAGAATCTTTTAATATCTTTAGTTTAATTTATAAATATGAATAGTTAGTCATTGTTTTGGTGAGTGAAATTTCTTCTTCTTCCTTATCCCCCAAATCTTTTTCGATGCCAGTTCCATAAAGGTGAGTGAATTTGAACTTATCAAAGTTTCTTCTATCCCCTCCTTAGCCAGAGTGTCGGTGTTATCAGTGCCCAAAACCCCAACGTGAGAAGGGATCCACTGGAGGTGAACTTCCCGTAATCGTTAGAGGATTTTAAATTTGTGCAGGATTGAAGCTCCTGTTTTGTCTCTCACCTTCCTCCAAAGCGAACAGTACTGTATAGAACGGAGACTGTCAGATAGTATCCAGATATTATTGTGATCCTGTAGTGTTAGAAGAGAAGTGGAATTTCTAACTTATATTATTTATATCATAGTTTGAAACAGTTCCGAAAATATACCAAATTTCAAAAAAAAAAATTTAATTCATGCATGTGTAGTATGGTGATATTGAGATACTCTCATACGTTCCGGAGTTAGGTGAAAAACCTATTACTACAGTACCTAGATGAGGACCTATAATATTTCGGACCTTTACGGTAATAATTCACACATTTCCGCATTCACGCAAATTTATAGAAATATTAAGGAGTCCCTCTGTTTCCTGGGTTGGGTTCAGAATTACAAGGCTACGGTGTTGAACACTGATAGACGTGAACTCAAAATCGAGTCGATAGTTCAACATCGATTGTTGTATAAAACCAAAAAAAAAAAAGGAAAAAAAATTAGTTTGTAATCATTATATATCATTGATAACATTTACCGGTATAATAAACTGACAGGAGTGTGTGGACTGCCTGGTATTCTTTACACAGGCACTTTTTTTTTTTTTCAAATAAAGGAACTTAAGTCGGTATACCCAACACTGATTTATTATTATTATTTTAACTTTAAGAGCCGGTACCCGGTATTGTCTATTCCGGTTATTTATAACTAGTAAAACGGGTTAAGGATATTTTTTTTAAAAAAATTAAGTATAAATGTCAACTCAGGGATATTTTATAAAATAAAAGAAAGATATCGAAAAAAAAGTAATACATTGTTTCTTTCACCGCTATCATCCTGTTTCATGCCTTGCCTCAATAATATTGTGATATACAGCATCTAGGTAAGGTATATTATAATTCTCATATTTCATATTTAGTTTAAAAACTACAGGCATTGTATACAATACCGGCGTTTCCTATATTACCGGTAACGCTTATATGCTAACAGTGAACAATAATAACATCTTTATTTTACTTTTTCTTTTTTAGGCTGCCACAGCCAGTCAATGCGTGTTTAGTAAAGTGAAAAAGGTAAACCAGTGTTTTCAAATTTTGTTTTAAATAACTGCTCGTTTTAAAATGTATTATTTACTTTAATGTTTAGATTTGCAAGTATGCATTCTAATTTTAAGTTTTTATAAATTGTAATAGTAAGATTAATAATTTAAATTATAATAACAAGGTTTATAAACTACTGGGGTACACTGGGGTGCAAATTTTTTATTGCATTTATACAAATACTTGATCTTGCCTAATTCGGAATAAGGATTGCAAATCCGAAATTAATTTTGCTCCTAAAACTACGGATTTTTTAAATCACATTTTTAGTCCATTTTTTGTGGAAATGCACAAGTTTAAAACGTTATATATAACAATATATAACAAGGTGTTCCGCAAATGTTGCGACAAACTTCAAGGGTAGTTAGGTCACATCATCAGAATAAAAATTGAAAAGGAACCCATGCCCGGAAATGCCGTAATACGCGGCTTGGAGTACTTTCCTATTTTGGCCTATTCAGAAGCACACAAATAAAAAGTTTATAATGGAGAACGCACTTGGCGGCTTATGACGACATTTCCGGGGATTGGTTCTAATGCACTTTTATTCCTGATGATGTGCCCTAACTCTCCTAGAAGTTTGTCGTAACGTTTACGGGAATCCCTGTTATATACAACTTTATCTAATCTTTAATCTTGCACATATATAACATCTTTAAATTTGGACAAAATATCGAGTAAAAATTTAATTTTAAAGATAAAGCTAGCTTGCAGAGAAATACAGATTGCAAATTTGAAATCAGCAATGCAAAAGTATCTAAGATCTGTTAGAAAAAAAAGTTTCCCCCTTGCAATTCCTTATTAATTTTTTAATAGTTTTATTTATTTAAAGATTATTTTTTATTGATTTTTACTTTAGAATCAATTTACAGTAAAATTAAATTCTTTGAGATTTTTTGTTCATGTCAATTTAAATGCTTGTGAATAAAAATTGAAAATACATTAACAAACTGCTGTGAATAAACATAGCCATTGACTTATAGAGCAGTAAAATTTAAAAAATACATAATGTGGCAATATTACTATTAATTCAATTTTTTCCACCCTCAATAAAAAATTTATACTTTGATAAGTATCAAAGAACATTAATTAAAAATATTATTAATTTTAAAAACATAAATATTTGCAAAAGTGCTAAAATATGATTGTAACAAAAGGGGCTGATCCTTAAAAATACGAAATTATAATTTTATCTCTAACCAGCGATACAGCATCGCCGTACCTGGCACAGTTTGTCTAGCGAAATATTTTGTTATCAAAAATAAATAAAACTATTAAAATAAATAAATAAAGCTGATAAAACTATCTCGACTTTAATATTTGTTTTAAATTAAAGTTATGAGCAAACAAATAAGAAAACACAATTTTAAAATTCTTAACATCATTTTTCTTTTTTCTGTACCCTATCCAACCTTTCCTCTATATACCGACAGGGGAACATATACACAGAAGAGGCATTACATTATGACCACCCTCCATCTATGACAATTGACTCGGCCAGTCTTTCATGGTTTCTCGCCCAGGAACAATGTTTTCATGGGGCACATTAGGACCCATAATCCTCATATAGATCAATCCCTGACGTCTGTAAGCCACTTGAACATAGTTGCAAACCAGGTTCACCCATTTATGGCAACAGTTTTTCCTGCGGGGGATGGTGTTTACCAACAGGATAATGCACCATGTCATAAGAGTCGAATCGTCGAGGAACATTCCAGTGACTTTCAAGTCATGTCCTGCCCCCAAATTCACCTGACCTTAACCCAATAGAGCACTTGTGGTCCGACTTGTAAAACCAAATTCGTGCTGCCACGCTACCCCCTCGCAATGTGAGGGAATTGCAGGACCAGTTGGTGAGCGCTTGGTACCAGATACCTCAGACTACCTATCAGCACCTTGTGGAATCAGTGCCACGGAGGGTGCTAGCAGTTTTTAGGGCTAAAGTGATCCTACATGTTATTAGCAGGGTGGTCATAATGTAAATATATATATATACATAATTTTTCTATTTATTTATTATTATCATTATTATTGTTTTTTCTAAAATTTCCTACCAATTTTGAATCAGAAATACTAATAAAGCAAGAATTTTTAAAGCAAACATTAAATTTCTAGCTAAAATGTTTTACTTCCATTTGTATTCGGTTTTGATAATTAGTCATATACCGAGATACAAAAAGATTAATTAATTTAGATCTGTTAGGATACTTTCAATGTTTAACTATAAATGAATTCTGATATTAATTGCTGTTTGTATTTTTTCTTTTCAGATTTGTGACAGTGAGGTAAAAAAACTGTAACTTGTCACATATATTTGTCTGTATTTTAATTTACTTTTCAATAAAGTAAATAAACTTTGAAGGATGTATTATTCATTCTACCTAATAGAGTAACATTTAAAATGTTGTAACACAAGGGAAAATCGAAAATTAAACTAAACAAACGTCATCACAAGGACAATTCCGGTTAACAAACAAAACTCAAAAGTATATCTTGTTTAATACCTTCACCACTTGGACTGAACCCCTGACCTTAGGATCTGAAGTATGTCTGCCTAACAAACTTTACAATCGATTTGACTGAGCCGAAATGAGGATTCTTTGTCATTATTACAGATTTGTAGTATTTCGCAATCCCTTTAACATCTGTTCGACATCCAACAGACGCTTTAAATTTTTTTTATAATTATTTGCATCGTAAGAATCATTTAAAACTATTTTCAGGTGAAAAGAGAGGAAGTCATAATTTCGAAAAGTGCCTGGTTATACTTACAGAACTTTATTTAAAAATTTGCAGTAAATGTGATGTGTTGGCATTAAGAATCTTTTAATATCTTTAGTTTAATTTATAAATATGAATAGTTAGTCATTGTTTTGGTGAGTGAAATTTCTTCTTCTTCCTTATCCCCCAAATCTTTTTCGATGCCAGTTCCATAAAGGTGAGTGAATTTGAACTTATCAAAGTTTCTTCTATCCCCTCCTTAGCCAGAGTGTCGGTGTTATCAGTGCCCAAAACCCCAACGTGAGAAGGGATCCACTGGAGGTGAACTTCCCGTAATCGTTAGAGGATTTTAAATTTGTGCAGGATTGAAGCTCCTGTTTTGTCTCTCACCTTCCTCCAAAGCGAACAGTACTGTATAGAACGGAGACTGTCAGATAGTATCCAGATATTATTGTGATCCTGTAGTGTTAGAAGAGAAGTGGAATTTCTAACTTATATTATTTATATCATAGTTTGAAACAGTTCCGAAAATATACCAAATTTCAAAAAAAAAAATTTAATTCATGCATGTGTAGTATGGTGATATTGAGATACTCTCATACGTTCCGGAGTTAGGTGAAAAACCTATTACTACAGTACCTAGATGAGGACCTATATAGGTATAATTGGTTCTTACTACCACAGCAACTTATAATGGCAATACCATTACTATTTCATACCATATTTGTTCAAGCATTACAGGCGTCAATAATGGATAGACGATTCTTACGGCTTTCGAAATAAGTACTGATAATAGTAAGATTAACTAAATATACTAATATTGGTACTAGGTTACCTGTTATAGGTACTGAGGAAAAATGCTTCAGAGGAAATTGTTAATCATGGTAGTTTTGGACCATCTATTATGGTTGAAATAGAATTATAGGATAAACTTCTAAAAGCATTTTTTGCTTAATATCATAACATAAATACACCAGGAAAGGCAATAAAAAATAAACAAAATAAATAAGTAAATAAATAAATTAAATAAATAAATTTAAAAAAAATATTGATAAATTGTACAGATGTTTTATCTTAACTAATTGTGCTGATACAAGTGTCTGAGTTTTCTGCATGATTTAGTAGCGTAGATCAACTTTTTTTGCAACCTATATGATGAACAGGTCGCATTCATTTCATCGACAATCACTTCATCGACAGACCATTTCATCGACACCACTTCATCGGCAGACTATTTTATCGACTAGGTCATTTCGTCGACAGGGTCATTTCGTCGACAAGTCATTTCGTCTACAGGGTCATTTCATCGACAAGTCATTTCGTCAACAGGGTTATTTCGTCGGCAGGGTATTTTGTCGACAAGACATTTCGTCGACGGGGTCATTTCGTCGACAGGGTCATTTCTTCGACAGGGTCATTTCGCGACAGGTTAATTTCATCGACAAGGTCATTTCGTCGACAAGGTCATTTCGCTGACAGGGTCACTTCGTCGACAGATTCATTTCATCGACAGGGTCATTTCGTAGACAGGGTCATTTCGTCTACAGGGGTCATTTTGTCGACAATATGTAGAAAAGGTTATTTCGTAGGCAAAGTCATGGGTAATTTGGAAACTAATTTTATGATTTTTTCAATAGACGTTATGCCCCTTGCACTTCTTTGTAATCTTGTATATTTGTGATGGAATTTTTTAAACCTAGCCTGATGCAAAATCTTAATAGTATGTTGAAGTTGCCCAAAAAGAAGCATTTTATTTGAAAATTGCCTATTCACATCACGTTGCAAAAACGAAGCATTAATTGTATTTTACACATTTAAGTTGTATATTACACAATTTTTTTCTAGTTATATTTAGCACATTTATTTCTAAGATTAATTTTTAATGTACATTATTACAGTTCGCAAAAGCCATTGCAATAACCATTGAGAATCATTCTTGATGTAGGGAGTGAATGACGGGGGAAATTAGCAAGGAAAAAAAGACAATATATAATGAATCTGGGAGATAATAAAACCACGTGGTCGATAGGTAATTTTAATAACAAGGTCTTTTGTTAACAGGCCATTTCAGCTGCAAAAATCGTCTGTCGATAAAAAGAAAATTATACTTATATAATGTTCCCCCACAATGAGTAATACGCATTAATACAGTTTAAAATCTTGTTAAAAAAAAGAAAAGGAACAAATTTTTACAATGATAGCAATGGTGTGGCGATTACGAAGAATTTTATCCGAAAAACACAAATCCTTTAGATAGTTAGCTAGTAAAATTACTTTTTGTTTTATCAAAAATTTATATCCTGTGTTTAAACATTAATTTTTCTAGCTCAGTTGATTTTTTTTCATATGCTAGCAATCGTTAATTTTGTTACTATTGACATATTAACAAAATTTTCTCTCATTAAATTTCAATATTTATATATTTTCTCTTTAAGGAAATATCAATTTGGAAAAAACAAACTAAGTTGTATGAGTGGCTATTACGAAGGTTAGTGAGCAAGGGGCGGAACTTCCTAGTATTATAAAAATCTTGGGGGAAAAATGCATGTGGGGGAAAAATAAAATAAAAATCCAACTTGAAAAACATATTGGAAAATATTGTTGGTAAGAAATTTTGTTCTAATCTTCTTCCTGGTGTCCTTGTCAGCTATGCTGCTGAAGAGGGAAGTTTCTGACAATTCTTGTGAAATTTAAATTAAATATTATTTGAAACAAAAATCTTATTCTTGCATTTCCAGTTTATTTCATTTCTTATTTAATTAATTATTTATAACGTTTTAATGTTTAATTGTTTAATAAGTATTTTATCCTATGCGTTCCCCAAACATTTATAAGTTCTTTTACTTTATAAAATAAACTTCGAAAAAGAAAAACTCAAAATGACTCCACATCCTCGGTATGCGATGCAATCGAAATGATAGTGTAAAAAATGGTCCCAAATCAGAGGAGGGGAGGAAACCTGTTTAATTGGTCTTCATGATTTAAAACATTTGGAAAAAAAACGCAACTTATTACGATACAGCAAATAAATTGACTTTTGAGTTTATAATTGAGGAGAGTTATCCATATGCATCTGATTTTATTCTCAGTAATGTTTAATTAAAATACGTTTAGCAAACTTTTTTTTTACTCAAATATTAAAATGTTTTTCTTTTCGATTTGCCAGAAAATAATTTTTTTTTTAAATTAACAAAATTTGCAATGAAAGCATAGATTTTAAAAGCGAGCTCTAGGGAAAGTCTTTTAAAAAGTGTAATTGGAAATAGAAATGTTTTTAAACATCATGTTTGATAAGTACACTGAAAAAGAAATGTTAATTTTTGTCACCAAAACGAAAAAAGTGGAATTTTGAATGTTGATAGAAGTCTATTGTGAAATTTTGCCCTTGTGGTTTTTGCTATGCTTGAAAATTCGTATATTTTTTTCTCATTTTTAGTCAACTGAACAGACTTGATATTTTAAATGTATATAAATTTTTTATTTTCATTTTTTTCTACATTTTAGTTTTGAGTCTCCTGGCTTGTTCAGGTAGAAAATAATCAAAATTTTGATTACGATAAGTTCTGCTAATAGTGGTCAGAAAGCGTTTGAAAACTGTGTTTTTATCCTATACAGAAATTTAGTTAAAAATTTGAGCAATTAAACTAGTCAAAAATTGGTCAAACTTTAATTGCAAGACTTTTCTTTTCTTTTTTAGAGAGAAAGAGTTACTTATTCTTGCACTTGAATTCCAGGTTTGCTTTTTTGTTCATTTTCTTTTAAACAAAATGTGTCTAATTTAAATCCTGCAAATAAAAAGGAATTAATTTATCATTTACTTACTACTATTATTATTCTCATTAAATTATACTATTATTATTTAAATGTAATAATAATAGCATAATTTAATATTATTAGATTAGAATTAAATAATTAATACTATTATTAAATTCATTATTTATAGATAAAATATATTTTGTGAAGAGCAAGCACTAACACGCTTGCAACGTTACGCCCGTGTTTCTAAATATTTGTGGTCCTGTGAGTAGCAGTTTAAATATTGTAGAAGTCCACAACCGCTTCGGTAAATACCTAAACATCATGTTTGCGTTCCTATCTTTTTTTTTTAACGGCAGGCACTGAACTTTCGTTCTTCGCCTAGGAAGATGCCGGAGCTGTTACTCATTTAGCGTTACCCAGTGGGCACCTGTGAACCTAAGTCACGGAGGCGAGCAACATTACCCACGCCACACTACCACATACCCGTTTATAGGGTGGGCCACATTCACACATCACACAATAGAGAACACACACAGAGAGAAACATCCATGCCCTGAGAGGGATTCAAACCCGCAACCATTGGTTTCACAGTCAGGCAGAAAAAAAACTGACTGGCTGAAAAAAAACAGAAAATTTTTTTTTACTTGTGCAGATATAATTATTAGGTCTATGATTATTTTTATTTCTGTGAGAATTTGACTAAAGTCTATGTTTTTGTTAAAATGTATGCAAAAATTTTGAAAATTTTTACAGCAATAAATTTAGCTTTTTCCTCCTTGAAATAGTGTCTAAATTTTCATTGTAATATATTTTTATTACTATCAATTCA